AGCAATTGAACTTTTTCAGCCCTCTGCTAGTGCTATCTGCTGGACCTCTGCTCTACTGCATCTTATCATACAGTGCGAACCTAACTGTTCCCTCTGCTTCTTTCCATGCCTTTTTTAAAGCAGAATTCACATCCAGATAAGAACATTAATTTTTGCTTATTCCCTACTCATTTCTACTGTTTCATTACCAAAAAGCTGAACAACAGCCAAGAAAGTTTTGATACCTTCATCTTTTAGACATCTCCCGAAACCAAGAGCTATAATTATTACAACAGTGCTAAGTTTGGAAAACTAACAAAGGCAACCTCTAACTTAGGAATCTTAGCCTAACTTGAAACTTCGATGCAAAAAAAACCAAAACAAACAAACCCCACAACAAAAAGAACAGAAATAAAATCTGGGACTCTGGCAACTTTGAAATTCTAACCTCAGCAACTTGATCAGTGTCATCTGTGAAGACATAAAGACACCTAAGCATGGAGCTTACTAACCATTCCTGTGCAAAAAGGAGGGACTGTCCTCACAATTGTTCCATCAGGTTTCCCAGGCCTTTATGGACAACCATGTCTGTGCTGCTAAATGCTTTGCAGCCCATTCACCAATAGCTCTACGTGACTACAGTGTAACAGCTTTCCCCCCACTTGAAAAGATTAAGGACCATAGGAGGCTGAATTTTGCCCATATGGAAAATAGAAGCATAGTGCATATTTACACTCCAAATACATGCCATTCACAGGACTATTGTCAAAGCTGACATGTTATTTTACAAGACGTTTACCACCAATGGAGGCCTTGACTGATACCCTGTTAAATCATACAATCTTTTCTGGTAAAGATCAATTTGGGAAAGAAAACTATTAGGGACAGTTCTCAAGTACAGATACAAACTTCCCCCATAGTAGCATATAAGAAAGGAGACAAATCATTGCTTTTTCAACTGGAAAGAAACCCCCTTTTTTTTTTTTTGCAACAGTAGCTAGGTCAGCAGGCACCAGGTGGGAAGGTTCCTGTCAGCATCACCTAGGGTTAAAGAAACAGATGTGGGGGTTGGGAGGATGAGGTTTGTTTTATATTTTAAGTTAAACAGTTACAGAATATAACCAGTATTTCAGACACACTGACACTCTAGCAAACAATGCTCTACAGTCATAAAAGGAATGCTAGGACAAATGAAAGTCTGAGTCATGCTTATTGAAATCTGAAATTAGGTGCTCTGAAAAAAGCACTAAGATGAGAAACCATTCAACACCTGCTCATCTTGGACATAACCTCAAGTACAGCTAACCTGTTGTGACAGTGTGCTCCACCACCAACCTGACCTTTATCTCCCACAACCCTGCCCAAGTGATAACCACCCATGGTGGTCATAATGGTCGCGTCTAGTTGTGATGCTGTGTCTGGCTCAATGTGGTTTTGGGGAGACATAACGCACTAGCCAAGGGCTAACTTGAGCCATTTGGCCACCTAACCATAATACTGGTACTGTGGCTGATATGCAACTTTAGGTCAATCATCTTACCCCCATAAATAGTGAACAGTCCAAGAGCCCTTTGAGCTCTCCTGCATGGCAGTAGGCTGCAGACCAGGATCTCTCCTTGAGTAGGGAAGCTGTTCAAGATTAGTGCTGGAGGTTAGGAGACTCCTTACCACCACACATCCTCAATAAGCGATTAACAGCTAATATTTCAAAATTTAGCATGCTAAGTGATATAAAGGATTGACTGTGCATATATAATCCTTTAGGCATAAACTGTTGACTAAGTCCAGGACTATGACTCAATCCAGCCACACCTAGACTCCTCTCTGAGAAGGAATTTAGAAAGCAAGGGGGTCCTTTCTGAACCTCATGACTCAACAGGAAGGTCTCCCTGGCAGTTCTGTCTGACCCTGTCCCTCTATGCAGTAAATAACCAGGTGTGCCTTCCCATTGAATCTTGTCAAAACTGTCACATTTGCTACCAAACTTTGTGAAATCATTGTTTAGTATCAATATATTGCTACTTCTCTTTCAAGAGAAGTGCACCATTCCTTCCATGACACCTGCCTATTCCCTATCCCCCCTTCCAAAACAGCTTATAAAAGCTCCAGTTTCATTTAAGTTAATCCCGTTTTTCATCATTCATAAGCATAAACTGTAATATACTATACATATATTTAGCATACCTGTAACATCTTCTGTATGTTTGCCACTTTTCTTCAATTGGCAATTCCATGATGTGCCTATTAATAAGTTACAGAGAACACATGCAGCGCTATTCATCCTTAAATACATTCTTTGTTCAGCATATATTGTCTTCTTCCTCCTTCCTTTCCTGCTAGTGGATTCTGTACACGTGAAGTTTTGCTTGTTATTCTTAGTGTTTTGTGGTGGTTTTCAAGACACAGAAAGGCATTCTAAAATTTCAATCAGGGGATATTGAAACCTCAACTTTAATCCTCTGAAGATATGTATTTTGTTATACCACTTCTCTCTAAAGGGCAAAATCAGAATGAGCTACAAAGTACTGTTGTATTTGAACTAAATCCCTGCCATATTTAACTGCATACAAAGTTATAGAACTCAAAGTGGTATTTTCCTCTCTCCCAGCACACAACGCACAAAGTGCCTAGGACAAGTATAAGGAAGTGCACCATACAGCATGCAGATTCCCCAAAAGGAGAATTAATCTTCCTTTTTACCCTGCATTTGAGAGTAGAAACCAAGAAACTGGGTATAGAGGGGAATGTCACCCAGTAATGGGTACTGCTTATTAAATAATTAAATACCTTTTATATATGACTGTACATCCTGCTGGCACACTAAAACTTTGCTACTATATTTGGTTAGGGAAAAACTAGTTCTTTAATGTTTAAGAAGTGTTCAATTGTACCATAACACACCATTTATTCATCTAAACAGAAAAAATTTCTATTTTATTACCTTTAGCCCAGTTAACCACTCAAGATACTAGCTCCTAATTGAAATTCACATTGAAAAAAATTCTTTCAACTTCTTGGAACAATGTACATACCCAAATACACACATTTCCCCAGGCAGATATAAATATCTCTACTTCCTTATGAATTTTTTTCTAAAATTAGACTGTTCATTACACACCTTCGCAAAGCAGCAGCTGGCAACCCTTGAGAGTGTGGAAACGCTATTTTAAGAGTGTCTGTTGTGTTAATGTACTTGAGCTCCCACCTACAATATGCTAAGAGACATTGTTCTAAATATACACTGATGCCAAATGCAGGTATTCAATAAAGATACAGAAGGCCATAACACTCAGCCAAGGAGAAAAATGGTTACCTAACACACACTTTTAAGACATGTTACCTGTGTATGTTCCATCACAGGAACACACACTCTAATCTAGATTCTCTGTAGTCACTTCTGCCTTTAAGTTCAGGGACACAATGGTGGCATTGTTTTTTGGGTTTTTTGGGTCTTCAGCAGGCATTTTTCCCTGTAGTAGCTAGAAAAGAGGGACACTCATGGAATTCACATGCTTAAGATAAGCAGCCATTTCTTATTTTGAATACTTGCTTACATATATACATTTTACTTTCATTACACATAGTAGTAACATAGATAGGAGACAGGTGCTAGGAAACTACCTAAATGAGTCTCAGAAGGAACTCAGCTGGTGAATCTATTTAAGGAACTCACTCTGATCCACAACTAGCTGCACTCTGTTTAACAGAGGAGCATGTTTAAGTCCACAGGTCGTGCTTCAGTCCACCAAACCCAGTTCTTTCCATCAATAGAAGATCTAAAATAGTCATTCATACTATAATGGAACAAATACAGAAGCCCACTTTGAATAACAGTGTTTATCAACCTGGAAGTAGTTTCTATCTCCCACCTCCAACATGCCAATAATTTGGATTGGAAAGCACCAGAAAAACATGCAAGCTTACCTCTGCACCTTTGTGTCTCGCTGCCACTTTGTTAGAATATAGATGTAAAAGATTATGCTGCCTTGTCTCAATCTTCAGTTAAAGAATATGTTAAAAATATACATACATATCTGGAAAAAGCATTATGTCTGAAAGGGCAGGCCTATCAAGCCATCAACTGTTAACATTCCCAACAAAAACACACTCTGTATATAATGAAAAACATCGACTTACCTTCAATTACAGGGCAGAGTTCATGGTTCTCTTCAGACATCCAGGATGACATCTACTATGTCACTTCTCTAACAAGTTTTTGAATGTTGGTAAGAAACTGCCTCAGATGTTACACTAGATTAATTTGATTGGAAAGATAAGTGCTTTTAAGAATTCCTTTGGCAGGTATGCAAATAAGAAAACGTTCTAGTTACCTGAACATGAAAGAATAAAAGACCCATCACTACAGGTTAGACTTGAGTACTGCTTCAAAACAAATCAGTAAATAGAGAAGAGGTGGGGAGGGAAGCTTTAAAGAGAAACAGTGCCTACCAGTGGGGGAGAACAGCTGGAAATTCATTCTAGGTTTTTGAAGAAAATTTTACTACTGCAAGTTTTTAAGTTAAGTAACACTGGGTAACAAAAAAATAACTTTTCAAAATTACTCTTCCTTTAAACTACAACTGCTTGCTTTTGTTTTATTTAAAAAAAAGTAATTGCTTGGAACATTCACAATATGTAAGAAACCCTGACAGTTAAACACACAAAAGATCAAAGAAATAACAGCATTAAACAACAATACACTAACAAGCACTCGTTAATTAACATTTTGATTCATTGCTCAAATACACACCAAGCTTTGCTTTAAGGTGTGCTGCTACCAGGCTTGCTTATTTTCCTCCCCTTGAAGCTGTAAGACATATCTTCAATACTGCATGGAAATCCATTTTATCTAATGCTTTAAAAGCATTCTTTTATATAAAATTTTAGCCCCAAGCTTGCAAAAAAAAAAAAAGAAAAACAAACAAACCACCTCATACAGGTGTTTGTCATGCCATTCTCATCTCTGAGTACAGGTCAAGCAAAGGCTGTGGAGACAAGAAAAATGACATGTTGTTCCTTCAGACAACACAAGCTTTTTTTTTTTATTAGTTTAGGAAAAAGAAGCACACCCAGTTCAGTAGACACGGAGTAGCAGGGAAGTCAGGATAGAAATGCTTTGATTTCAGAGACAACAATTTAAATAACTATTTACATTTAAACCAAAAGTATAAAGAAACTTCATTTTAAAAATTCCATTTCTTTCTGGGGTATCTTTTTAATAGAAAAAAAAAAAAGGAACTTCTTGTCTATGGTGAAAATGCAGTCAGCATTGTTCTACTGCAGCATGAGCCAACGATGTCTTTCAGTTCTTGACACAGCTTTTTCAATGCTCCTACAGATTCCAGAGGCTTACAAGGACAAAGTTTCATGTAGGTCTTTTTCCTGCAGTTAAGCTTCACGCATGTAATTTCTTTCAGACTTTATTGTGAAGAGAAGCCATACTTGATTCAACAGCAGTGAGTCTTGTCTCCAGAGCCTTTAATACAGTGTCTGCCTGTGAAGTAAAAAAGGAAAGATACTTGGTTATAAAAAGAACTTGCCAATATAAAGAGCAAGCATAGATACAAGTGCTCAAATTTGATCTTGCATTACCAATCCTATCTAATTCTACTCCTGCCACTTTCATAGTCTGAAAGTTCACTCAACTCCAACATTAACTCTCCGTACTTTCTCAAATCTATAATTGTCTTCAACCTTAGTGTCAGTTCCATAATGCAGCTTTTGATAGATAACCATCAGCTTTCAGAGCTGACTCCCTTGCTACCTGCAATCAGAAGTGTTCAGTAGAGCCAAATGTCAACTTGGTATCAAAATATTTATAATAAAATAAAGTTAAAGAAAAAAAAAGCATTAAGTTGATTTACATGAAAGACAGAAGAGACATGACTAAAAGTTAGGTGAAAATCTGGAGAACTGAATCAGAACTAATTAGAAATAAAATTCTAATTACAGACATAGATAGGAATATAAAGCTGTGCTTCATAAACAGAAAATGTTAATTACCATTAAAACTGAAGCAAAAGTTACTGAAAATCTTGCATAACAATATATTAATAGTATGAAGTATTACAGCATATGCTAAAACCCACGGAATTGATTTGGATGAAATAAGCTCTTCTGTAGAAAATATTTAAGGATATTAAGATGTTCTAGAAGTGATTTAAACACAGAATGATATAAGGCTATATCTTACCCTTTGTAGCACATCTTCCAAGACAGCTCGACTTTCTAGAGTTAAAGGTTCCTCATCTGTAAGTGCTTGCTTTTCTGAGGATCCTAGAATGTAACTGATATGCTACAGTTTAGATCATGCCCTTTTCTCTACGAAGGCAAAAAACCAAATGTAGGACTCATCTATTGTTCCCAATGACTATGATTAATCTGCTAGCAGTGGAAGCATAATTCAAGCAACAATTAAAAGAATATCTATATTTGTTAATCTTGTAAACAAACTGTACAGCCGAATAAAAACAGTTTTAAGCTGTTTAACTACCAAGACACCACTGCTTTATGAAAGTTAGAACTCCAAGAGACAGTCAGGAATGCTGGTGCTACAGAATATGGTGAAAAAGCATGCAGACACAGAACCGTGTCACACGAGATGGGAGAAGCAGCCATCAGCATTACTGCTCAAGAAAATGCTATTTTGTCACTATCTCAGTGTTTCAGAGAACTTTACTGCTATAGAAAAATCAAAGTATCACAGCTGTGGAAAGAGGAAAAAAACCTGTCCAGATTAGGAAGGTGAACATCCATATATAGAGAGCAAAATAAATTGGAACTTATCAAAAAGCAGAAACATTCAACCTAGCCCAGAGAGAAACAAAGATAACATATCAGTGTTTACTAGAGTAATGCTCGGATAAAAGCACTCTTGTGTGGAGACTTAATTCAGGATACAGTTATTAAAGAGCATCTTAAAATCACTTTTAAGTGCTATAAACTAATTAAAACCAATACAATAGCACATCTTCATTTTCTAGACAGTTTTTGACTGTAAGACAGGTAAGTGAGATCCTCAAGCACATATTCAGTTTTAAAATGTGCGTTTGGTGACGTTTAGCTAGCAGGCTTACCAATAAAAATCCTGCCTTTACCTTTCAATTGAGTCAACATTGAAACAGAACAAATCCCTCTTGTAGTCAAGATGCTTTGGGGTGCACCTATAGATGTTGCCAAGTGTCATTGAGCAGCCAGAGCAGGATAATGTTTCAATCATGCTGTAAGTAAAATACATAACATTTATTGGGGAGAAAAAGAAGAAAAGCCTCTCCCCGTCCCTATTGTAAAAAAAATTCATCCACTCCGATTTTGGTGTTTTGTTTTGAGCATTCACTCCTGCCATACATACAATTACAAGCACTAATTTTTCAGCCTGCTTTCTCAGCAGCTCAGCAAGATTAGCACATCATAAGACCTGCTGGAGGCAACTTCTGAAGAGAAAGATCTAGGGGTCCTGGTGGACAGCAAAATGACAATGAGCAAGCAGTGTGCTCTTGTGGCCAGGAAGGGAAACGGAATCCCGGGCTGCATAGGGAAGAGTGTGGCCAGCAGGTCAAGGGAAGTCATTCTCCCCCTCTACTCTGCACTGGTGAGGCCACAACTGGAATATTGTGTCCAGTTCTGGGCTCCCCAGTTCAAGAGGGACAGGGAACTACTAGAAAGAGTCCAGCAAAGGGCAACAAAGATGATTCAAGGATTGGAGCATCTTCCCTATGAAGAAAGACTGAGAGACCTGAGAGTCTTTAGTCTGGAGAAGAAAAGGCTGAGGGGAGACCTTATTAATGCTTATAAGTATCTCAAGGGTGGGTTGAAGGAGGAGGGAGCCAGACTCTTTTCAGTGGTTCCCAGTGAGAGGACGAGGGGCAACGGACACAAGTTGGAACATAAGAGGTTCCACTCAAATATGAGGAAAAACTTCTTCACAGTGAGGGTGACAGAGCCCTGGAACAGGCTGCCCAGGGAGGTTGTGGAGTCCCCTTCCTTGGAGATTTTCAAGCCCCGCCTGGATGCAGTCCTGAGGAACATGCTCTGCCAAGCTCTAGAAAACCCTGCTTTAGCAGGGAAGTTGGACTAGATGATCTCTATGGTCCCTTCCAACTCTAAAATTCAGTGAAATTTAGTGAAATAAGCGCTTTGCACAGACCACCTGGCAGAAGCATTCCAGGCCTGGGCTCCCCAGGCGAACAGGAGCTGCAGGCGGCTGCCAGCACCTGGAGAGCCATTTATCCGGCTTTTCCTCAGCACTTTCCCTAGGGCCTCCTGGCTCCCTGGGAAAAGGACGGGAGGGGGGCAGGCGGGGAACCCTACACACACTCCCGGGGGCAGCAGCGGGGCTCCGGGGCCGGGCCTCACCATCCGCACTCGCCGGGCCGCTTGGAGAGCTTCCGTTCCGGGTCCACCGTGACGCTACCGGCCGCACCTGCGGAGAGCGAGGAAAGGAGGGAGGTGACCAAGGGGCCGCCGGTGAGGCCGGGGGGTGAGGGGCGGGCCGGGACCGGGACTCACTGCGCAGCAGGATGCAGCCCGCCTCCTCGTCGTTGGTCACCCAGCTCAGCGTGTCGCCCACCGGCCGCTTGCAGCCGGCGCAGAGGAACACCATGGGCAGCAGGTCCGCGTCCCCCACCTGCTTTTGCTCCGCCGTCCCCCGCCTGCCGTCCCCGGCCTCCAGCAGCGACAGGGAGGAGTCCAGCTCCGCCACCAGGCCCGGCGGCTGGAAGAGACTGCCCGCCATCGCCTTCAAACCGCCCGCGCCGGAACCGGAACTGACACCCAGGAGGGGGGGGGGGGGAAATACCTCTGGCCCCGCCTAGGGGGCGGGGACACACCGGGGCTGGCCACGCCCCCCCGCGGCCGTTAACGGCGAGTGATGCCCCGCCGCTGTCCTTCACGGAGGCCTCTGCGGCGCCTCAGGGGGAGCTCCAGCGCCGTTAGCGGTGGGGAGGCAGGGGAAAGATGGTGATACGCGTTCTGGAGGCTGCCTTTAACGAACCCGGCGCTTTATTCTGCCCTGCGTTTGCGTACCTGGCTGCCCGGTCTGCCTCCCGGGAGGCCCCCGCCTTCCCTCCCTGAGGCCCCGGCCGGCGCCTGAGGGAGCGGCCCTGGCCTCCCCGGCTGAGACCCACCCGGGGGCTGCAGGGGTGCAGGCAAAACTCGCCTGACAGAGCCCCCCGAAGGTCTGTGTCACGTTTAGCGTGAGCACCTCAGCGGGGCATGCAGAGGGGAGACCTTATCGCTCTCTACAACTACCTGAAAGGAGGGTGTAGAGAGGTGGGAGTCGGTCTCTTCTCCCAAGTCACAGGTGACAGGACGAGAGGAAATGGCCTCAAGTTACGCCAGGGGAGGTTCAGGCTGGATATTAGGAAAAATGTTTTCACTGAAAGGGTTATCAGCCATTGGAATGGGCTGCCCAGGGAGGTGGTTGAGGCACCATCCCTGGAGGTGTTCAAAAGACGGGTTGATGTAGTGCTGGGAGGTATGGTTTAGTGATGGTGTTGCTTTTTGTTTGTTGTGCAGGTGTCTATTTTTGTCAGTTAGGTTGACAGTTGGACAAGATGATCTTTAAGGTCCCTTCCAACCCAGAAGATTCTGTGATTCTGTGTTTGCCTGGGCACAAGGCTGTGTGGGCCAAACATGGCTGTGTGCCACTGGTCCGCCTTCGTCTCGGCTGGGAGCCTGCCTTCCCATCCGTTGCCTTCCGAGTGGAAGGAATGAAGGAGTAGCACAGCAAACAATGCGTGGTTAGGCCAATGCGGCCTCTGTTTATGAAGGGTTTTGTCAGGTCTTACCTACGTTTTTTTTTTGCGTCAAGAGAAGTTCAGGAATGTCTTTCAGGCCATGCGTTTTCAAGAGCTCCAGGGAGCGCTGCGCTGCTGCAAGTTTCTGAGAGGGAAGAGTTTGTGACCCAGCTGGCACTTGTCCAGCCCGTTCTTGGGTCATTTGACATCCAAGTTCCAAACATGCTGAGGAATAAGGCTATTGCCCACCAGGAAGCGAGGATTACATTTTAAGGGCTGCAGTTTCATATTTGTCAGACATTAATAGTCATTGCTGCTAGATGTTTTTTAGTACCAAGGCAGTCCTTGAGCCGCGGGACCCCAGAGTGATTTACATAGGCATCAGTTATGCAATCTCTTTCTGAGGGCACTGAAGTACAATGAAAAAAAGTATTTGGTTGGAGTTCTGAGCTGGTTTAAAATGCACTGCTGAGATGGCTAACAGAACAAACTCCTCTGAGTATTTTTGGTCGTATGAATATTATTGGGATTATATAGATCCAATTCCAGTAGATGGAAGCAAGTTGGAGGTTAATAAATGTAAGTATTGTAGAGTAGTAGGTGCTAATCTAGTACAGGAAAAATGTTGCATAGTTTGTCTCAGTGCCTTATTTTTTTATTTTCTTTGCAATAGAGACCATGCCGGGTTATATGTGTGTGGTTTGTATGGATGGGTGTCTGCCTTCCGAACTGACTAATAGCAGTTTTTACTAGTATTGAAACTCTTTGCTTTATCTTACAGTATTTGAAATTGTAAGACTGCTGACACTAACACTTACTTAGAATGACAGATTCTCTTTTAGTTATTTGCTAAGTGGACACCTAATGACTTGCAAATCTGTACTTTGGGGTGTTAGTTACCAGCATGCTACTATCAGAAAAGTTAACTGAACGAGCAGAGTTTTTCATAAGACTATCATGTTTTCCTCTTGGGATGTAAGGCTTACGTTACAACTGATAAACATTCAAAACCGTAGTAAAAGAAGAAGTGTACGTTTCCGCTAGCCAGGAACATCAAGCTGAACACATATTCTATTACCTTTCCTCCTTTGACTTAGTGCTACTGAACTGTAAGATAAAGTAATAATGTGCATTATTGTCAAAATACTTTATTGTCATGGAAGCTGATTCTGCTGGATTTAGAAGTTTATTTTCAAAATATATAATATGAAATAGCATTCACCAAATTCACCCGGTGACAGTTAAATCCATTTCACACTTGGTTTTTGCCCAATGAGATAGTGGTGTCTTTTTATGATTCCTTAAAGTGGCAAGTAATTTATTTTTTTTTCTAATGTAACTGCATTGGTTAGATTTTTATAAGATAAAATGACAAGCTCTCATGAGGGATTAATTTAGCCGAGTGTTGTTGGATGGATTGATGAAGATCAAGGGAGAATGGGTAGGGATGTTTGGGTCACTTAGGCTAAAGGCAGTGTTTTGCCTCAATTTTTGCCAACTCTCTGCCTATGGTTGTATCCTCATTTGAGTGACAAACCTGTGGGCTTTACTGGTGGCTGTTTAGTTTACTGAAGACAACTATGACTGTTCAGATACAGTTTCAGAGGCTAAAAATGCTTTCCCCAAGGTTATTATAGTTATCTGGTATGTAAGGAAAATGTGATAGTCTTTTAAAATATTTTCATGTCTCTCTAATTAACAGTGTAAGAAACTGTCTTTCTAATATTGAAGCTTGACATGGAAAAAGCTAAGAGTTTCATGTTCTTTACTTGCCTTATGAGAACAAGAATGAGAAAATGGAGCAGAAACTCTTGTTCTGCACTGCCTCTAGAAAAGCTTTTCTGTCTGCTCTGATGAGCCTAGGGTTTATTGCCTCCAAACTTAGAGCACCATGCCTTAAAACAGGCAGTGTAAATATTCACGTCCTTCCACATATAAAATCTTGCTCCATAGTACTGCAGAACAATATTTGCTGCTGCTGGCATCAGGCAGGTTTATGGGCAGCTTTGCTAATTCTCTTAATTTTAAAGTTAGGGCAGATAATTACCCCAAAAATTACACAAAGGAATGAGTCAAGCTACCTATAAGTTCCTGGCATGTGGCTGGCTTAGCAAAAAACAGAAATCCAGGATCTAACCTTTCCCCTTTTCTCTCACTAATAACCTCTTTCTAATGTTTGGGTTGCCTGATACAGAATAGAAATGGAGTTTGTGTTACAGCATTTCCCTCAATTATAGGATATTTCTCTTTAGCCAGCTGCCTGTTTTCTTGAAACTTGTAGAAATTGTGCTTCTGAGAGAAGATGCATCCTCTCTGTTAAATTTAATTTAAATTTGTTGATAGTTTCATGGAGGAAATTACCGCACACACGTGTCTGAGTGCTTATGAGTGATCTCATAAGCCTTATTTCCATTAGAAAAGCAGAGTAAACTGAATTCTTATTGATTTATTTTTTTTAAGTTGTTTTCTCCCCCTAAAGAAGTAGATACCTCTGCCACCTTTCAGGTCTTTTTATATTCTAAGGAGACGATTTATGCACTCACACTTTGTGTTTATGCATCTTATCTGCTACTGCAGTAACTCCAGGTAGATCTAGTTACAAAGGAGTGGAGGCCTCAAAGATTTAAAATATCAACAATCTCCAGCAGCTGGTAACTAGATGATCGAGGAAGAACATTGTGAGTGAAGAACCTTTGCTGACAAGAAGGCTGCAGGGTGGGATTATTCCCTGTTGGACACTAAAGGAAATCACCTTTGGGCTTAGCTTTGGGAAGCAAACCTGCAAGAAACCAAACCAGGCTTCTGTATTTCAGCTGCTCAGCTCCCAGGCAAAGAAGAAAGAGAGAGATGCAAGTGTAGGGTTTGGGATGTAAATTTTTTTTTCCCCTCAGGAGTTTAATGTTAAGGCAATTTGAGTTCCCTGGGGCGGCTCTTTATGTAAGATATTTCTAGGCAGCTTGTCAAAATGGAGTTGTGCTCTGTGATTTGTCTTTTAAAGAGCCCACATTGGCTGTACCAATTTCTAAACTAAAACTGTTGGGTTTGGTTTTCTGATAGCCAGGGAAGTGAAACTGTTTTTCTTTCTCTTTTTTTTTTTCTTCTTTTGCTTCTTATAAAAATAAACATTTTTCCATGTCAGCAGTCTAGGAGGAATGGAGACTGCGTCATCTTGGTACTTTTATTCTTCCTTCTCCAAATACCAGTGGGAGAACAGTGAGTTACAAGTTATAAGGAAAACACCAAGGGAAATAATTCCACAGTTGGTCCTTTTTTCTTTGTTTTGAATAAAAGCACTAGTCAAGCAATGAATATACTTTGTAGGTTTTCCTGTCTTTGCATAATATTTATATTCTCATACCTTCAAAAGCCACTGTTGCGATTATTGTCTTCATGTGCTTGGAACTATATAGACGAATAAGTTCAGCAAGTCCTTGCCCTTTGTGTTGCAGATGAAGTGTGATAATTTCCCCTCAAATAGCCACAAACGTTCCAAGTTTGTCAAAATGTAGGATACCTCCAGGATGACGTTAATGGCTGTACTGATGTTCTAGAGAGCCTGTGCCCACTGACTGCAATGAGACCTGAGCGTTTGTTTAGGTGCATTGCTGAATCAGCCCAAATGAATCATATGGTCATCATAACCCCTGGGATAGGAGTATAGCTCCCTAATTCAATTTTGCCTGTGTTTTTTTTTGTTTTGTTTTGTTTTTTATTTAATGTAAAACAGAGACTTGAATCTCTGCATTTTCTTTCCTCTGTTACGTGGCCTATCCCTGAAGCATTATAAGACCACGTTTGTCTCATGAAAATGAATCTAAATCCAGCTATAAAGTCATGGTCTTGCTTTCTATTAATCGTGTTGTGGAGCTCTCTCAATTTTGTATAAAAATAATAAAAAGCTTAATTGGCCCAGGAACTAATAGGCTATTTAAAAAGCATATGCACACACACACGAAAGGTGACTGTAAAATTTAGCAATAGAAAAGCTTTTTATAGATTGTTAAAATATATTATTCCAGTTTAAAAAAAAAAAAAAAGAAAAAAAAAAGAAACAAAAACCAAAAAACAAACTAATTGCAGGACTTCAAAAACAGTCAGGAAGTTTCTGTTTATCCCTCGAGAGTTCAAACTCCCTGTGAGACCTGAAGCAAATTTGATTAGCTTCAGTGAATTCTGTGAATCGTATTAAAGCTGCTTTTAAAGGATGAAACCAAAATAGGTCTGATGGGGAATATTATAAGTCCAAGCTCTTCATTTCTGTCCCGATGGCTTTGAACACTTCAAAACTTGGAGCTTTTCAAAATATCCCTGAACCATGAGCTTGCTTTTTTTTTTTTTTAACAGAAGTCTCCTAATTCTCTGTTGAGGAGTTGGGGTTGGCCAGTAGCACCCAGTTGCTTTGCTAATTTACCATCCTCTGAATTAAAGCTTAGTAAAACTTTTTTTAACAGAGGAATAATAAAATAAGCAGACCTTCTACATTCTTATTTCTCAGTAGCACAGCCAAAACTCAGCTTTCTGATAAGACTCTGGCTGGGTCGGCTCTAGTTTTAGGTTTAAAAGGAGTTGGGATAAGTCCCCCTAATCTCTTTGTGGCTCTGATGACAACACATTCTGAACTTTTTCACAAAGAAACACCTAATCAAATATATTGGACCTGTTTCAAAGAACACAGTGTTTTCTGTCCTTTGAGATGGAAGATTTATTTTAACTTGGTCAATATTTGTCTCTGGAGTCGATGACCCTTCTTTTTCACCTCACTCGAAGTGAGTAGCCGCTTATGAATTCAGGGCATTTCTCAACTTGTGCCCTACAGAACACCCAGCCTTTTCAAGGCTTTAACTGGAACGTTCACCACCAACATACTGATCCCAGGAAGGAGCATTTTTGAACCAGTGACCAAATGGGCTACTGGGGCAGGAGCATATTGATCCCATCTAACAGTGAGCCCATAAGTGAGGCAGTAATTTATGCAGCACCGTAGCCTTCATTCATGAAAGAGCAACTCCCTTTTCTCCCCCAACCACCTTAGACTCCCATTAGCTCTGGTCACCCAGGTCAGGGATCAGTTCATCTTTTTTTTTCCTTTTATTAATTTTAAACAAAAAGTTTTCATCTGAACTGGGGATAACAGCAGTGGCAGGTTTTTAGGCTGGTTTAAACCAACTGTGAACCAGTACTTTGGTAGTAGGAATCCATTTACTTGCTCCATAAAGGAACCATCTATCCTGATAAAGTAGGCTGCATTTAAAACTGTTCTACGATGATTATGGAAATATCGCAGCTGAACAGGGGAAGGTTCACATTCTGTTCCACTGGACTGGTGTGCTCTGAGGGTCACAGGCATGTTTCAACCAGCTTTCCTTCGTATTTCTCTTGGTGGAAAATGTTTTTAAGGGTAGAATTCCCTCCCTAAAAGCATAATCTTGAAAATCATGGGTTGTGGTACTTTTTCCCCTAAGAGCAAGATTTGGCTATGCACTGAACAGTAACGGCTCGATCTTGAGTACCACACTGCTTCTGCACTGTGGTGTTATAAAAGGAAACGTATCCCCTGCAAAGAGATGAAACTGTGAAAGCCATCCTGAGTGCTCAGTATTGTCTTTTAAATACATGCACAATACTAGTCACCATCACACTTACTAGATTTTTTTTCCCAACTTCTTGCCCAGCCCCAGCCATGCACTGTTACAATAAACTGTTAGGAGGCTCTTAAGACTATTAACAGATTTGCACTCTGATTCCTCTCTCTCAAGGGTTTAATTGAATTGAAATAATTAAATTACACACCTTTCTTAGAGATCATGAATTATATTGCTGAGTTTTATATTTGCTACGGTACCAGTGACAGAACTACTGTGTTGTATCCACAGATTCTATTGTCATAGCCTTTTGGGTTGGGCTTGCTGCGTTTGTGACGTTTCTTTTCCTTATTTTACTGTATATGTCCCGCTCTGGATCAACTCCAGTAAAGTAAGTACAACCAGAGATAAAGTAAGTATAGATTAGTATAATAAAATAACCTGCATGAAACATTCATTCACTGCTTCGAGTGATTCAGAGGTGATGCTTTTTATGTTGTTACTTGGTTTGAGTGTCTCTCAACCCACTGCTATTCACTGTTTGTATTAATCACCTGGATAAAAATAAATTCATAACTGATGAGGTTTTGCAGATGGCAGAAAGATGGGGGGACGGTAAACCATGAGGATAGGCAGAGCAGTCTGGACTGGTTGGTATGTTGGCAAACAGCATGCATTATGCCAGCTGTCCAGGCTGCGTACTGTGGAAGTAAGAGTGTCTGTTTTACACACAGGGTGGGGAAAGTACCTCTTGTAAACCACGCCTGAGAAGGAAGCAGTAATCATGCTGGTAAAGCAGGTGAACACAAGTTCTCAAAGCAATTCTGTAAGTGTTAATTTGATTAAGAGAAAACACGTTAGTGAGATTGGGTAGATAACAGTATGTGCACCATTGCTTAGATCATCCCAAGAACATTGTACTTATGTTAGAATGCACTCTTTAAACGGGGTTTAAAGAAGAATCAGGAAAAACCTCATTTACATTCCAGAAACACATCCTACAGTGAGAGAAATCAACTCAAACCAATTAGTTTCTCAAGGAGCAGTGGCTCAAAGATGCTCCTTGTGAACTGTCTGCATCTTTTAGAACACGTGTCCAATTCAAGAGCCCCATGATAACTATCAAATGGTAAAAAGCGTACTAAAATGCAATGGCTGGAACTTAGATGTACCACGTATTTTATGTGAGGGTAATGATTCACTGGAACAATTTACAGTAGAATATTAAATGGGTTGTGATTAATTCTTTTTTTACTTGATGACTGAACATCTGAAAAGCATGCATTTGTATTCATCCAAAAATTACTGTGAGGAGCCTGTGGTCTGTCACTCTCTGGCCTGTTATGCAGAAGGTTAGGAAAGCTTTCTTGCCTCAAATAAATGTATGACTCAGTCTCTAAACACCTTTAAGGTCTTGTAGGTTAAATTAACTCAGTGAAATGATTGATTTACAATTGGCTGAAGATCTAGGTACATTTTCCTTTCTTTTTTTTGTTTTGTTTTGTTTTTCAAATCCTGCCAGGATTATGACGTCCTTCAGCATAGTAAGCCCATGGTAAAACTACAAATACACTTCGAGAGAGCATTAATCAGTTGAGAGTGTGGTTGTGAAATGACTTGAAACACCTGCCAACCATGGATGCGTGACATTCATAGCACCAGTCAGTTTAGGTGTGAGACAGCATGGTCAAACTGGGTTTTTTGTTGGCGCAGAATCTCCTGGAATTAGCCTCAAGTGATTTCATTCGTGATTAGAGTTTAGAAGTGTGATTCTGTCCCTCTCACCTGAGTACCTTAATTTAAATTTCAGTAGAGTACTACTCACTATTAGGGAGCCAAAGTTGGGTTTTAGCTAACAGTACCCTGGAAAAGCATAACAGCATCTTCAGGCTCGGAGTGTGTGCAGCATGTCTCACTCTGCAGGCAGAGATTCCAGAGCCCCATGTTCGTGGCTTGTTTTTACAACTGGGCTTGACAAAACAGGGAAAAATCCTCTGGTGGCAGATAGATGGAATAGCTAATCTATTCTAGTAGGGTATTTCCACATGTAACCTCCACGACTGAAAAGAGAAGTTGCATAAATACCTCACTGTTGCCAGGCATGTCCCCAATTTCCAAAAAGATTATAGAACCTGCCCTGCAAAATGGAGCTGTGGTGGATGCACCTGATGGAGGTGCAGTGCCCACTGATGTGCAGCACCCATGTGTTGAATGGGAATGTAGTTTTAATACTGCCTGTGATTTTGAACTTTGTTTAAGGACAGGTTTCTGTTTGCAGCTTTCTACATTTTGGTTCACTTTGTTCGCCGCTAGTTTTTCTGGCAAACACGTTTTATGCAAACAAGGATGCATTTGGCCACTGCATCTCCTAGTCTGATCAGGACGCAGAAAATTCAGCTCAGCAGCTGAGGCAGAGGTTCAAGATTAGGTCACAAACAAGCAGAGGGAAACGAGTAGAATATGGTAGTAAAAAAGGAGCACTAATATTCTAATTTACTGGCACTCTAAGGCCTCTGGCATGCTCACAAAAGGTAACAACAACAATAAAAAAGGCAACTTGCCCAAATAAACACCAAAGCAGGAGGCAAGCTAACAATGCAAGAAACACATGGAAATGGACATAAAATTACAGAATAACAGAGGCATGTTCCCATTCATTTACTGGTTCTAAAAAACTGGCAGGAGAAGTCTATATACATGAAAATCTGAGTGTTTGGAAGACTTAAGTAAAAGTATTAATATTAAAAAAATTTTCACTTTTGCATCATGTTACTGAGTGAAATATTTGGCTTAGAAATATCCATATTTATCCCTAATTTGTTCATTTTTGCCCATTGAAAGAGCTGTTGTAAACAAGGCAAGTCTAGGAATGTTTTGTGGAGAGCCTAGGAATCATTACTGGAAAGCAGTATTGAATGAGATTTGCTTAGGCTTTCAAATCATCACATCTTATAATTTTTCTAGGCTTGAAATATACTGTAAGAAAACAGTTTTAGGACTGAAGAGACAGTTCACCCCAAAAAAAACAACCTCAAAACACCTTGCCCTTTTTGAATGAGTTCCATTTGTTCTTTAACCCCCACTCCAATTACACGTCTCCCGATTCCAGCAATGAAACAAAGTGGGGTGCTCCAAAGATCTTCCTGTTAACTTCCACCATCCTCCCCTCGTGTCTTCTTTGTATGTAATCTATCCATCACCTTTGGCATCACGATCATCTAATTTCTGTATTGGAATCTCCTGTCTCTTTTCCCGTGATAATTCTGATGCGTTCACCCAACAAGCATCCAGATACGTCACCAGTCAAGGCTGGAGAACTTTTACCTTCACTGTTTCTGTCCTCATCCATCTCTCTGTCAAGCCCAGGGGCATCTGGGGAAGCGTGTACGCTTCCAGCTTGCTCTACTGCCTGGTGAAACAAGTGTGCTTTCGAGACTGGTAGTTGATAAGAGTGTCCCTTCTCGCTTCAGTTGACTGTCGAGCAAACCCCCACCACTGTGTGTCAGCTGTCTTTATTGTCAGCTGGATCTCTGTGGGGTCCCTGCAGGTGACATTTTGGCCTTGTATAACATGCAGTGATTATCCCTCTTCCAGCACTGTCTACATCAAGGCCTTCCTATTTTGGCAAGGGCAGGCCATCTACCACAGTATAGTCTGCTGATTTTTACCTGCATACCCACACAGAAAAGAAGTCAAAGTGACTTCTGAAAGGCCTATGCAACAACTAGATCTAGTTATGCCACCACATAATCCTGACCTGAATCCACGATCTGATTGCACCATGCTCTTCTCTGCAATGCCAAGTAATTTGGTGCCAAGTCAGATGAGTGAGTTTGGGAGAGGGGGAAGGGCTGATGCTTACAAGACAGCTGCAGCGAGGAGTCCGTGTCCCAGTCCCTTTTGTCACCATTACACTATCCCTACAGAAAGAAAGAAATTTAAAAAAAAAGGTTTTTTTGAGGACAAATTATTTCAAACGCATTGGCATGCCAAGGCAGTTGATTAGCACACTGTTGTAATCAAGAGCCAGTGTTAATATTTGCATCAACTGTGTTTCTTACCAGACAAAATGATACAGAAAAATAAGGGATAATGGAAGGGGAGACAGTTAACAACCAAGGCTGGAGCTAAATGCTGTGGAAGGGGACAGGGAAAGTTCCTTCATGAACCTCTCCAGAGGACATCCCAGTTTCCCATGCATTTCCCTGGAGGCTGTGCATGGCTGACAGCCATGACTGAGACCACTGTGGACATCCAAAACCTTCCGGCTATCACTTTACTCCCAGACAGTATCATGTAGAAAAAAATATAATGGGTCCCTAGAGAGTTGGAAGATCTGTATGTCTCATCCCTTATCCACATTTCTTGCTGTCGTAATAGCCTCAGAGAGGCTCAATCAAGGGGACTCTGGACTCCTTGGCAGCATGAGCCTTGCTGGCATCAGACAGATTTCTTGCAATAAAAATTCCAGTTCAGTGTTTAGACATTTTTTTCCCCTGACTAACATCAACTTTTACCCAACATTCTGGGGCATATGGTGACATAGTTTGAGGATACCACTCGCCAGACAGAGAAGTGTAAGTTGGCTTGAGAACACTTGTTCTGCGGCCAGCTTTCTTCTCAGTTTGCAGGTGAGAGTTTCCTTCATGGACAGACCGATAAGCACTGATTTGGTGGACAGACTGTACATGGTCCACGTGCTCTTTCTATTTTTTGCTCCACCCAGATCAATTGCATCAACTGCTTCATTCCTGGAACTGATGAACTAATTTGGATATTTGGCAGCTCAGGGGTTTTGGTCCCTAGGACTGAAAAAAAAATCTACAGCAATATCCTAGATCTCACATGAGGGCAGATAGTTTTCAGAGGGTTGATCTGGGTGGTTTTTTTAGCTTATCTTCAAGACTGTAGTATTCATTAGTGAACAATATAACCACCATATATTACAATACCAAAAAAGTACCTATTCCTATACACAAAGGCAGTGAATCTGACACTCAAAGCACCATATTCCTCAAGATGACAGTAAGGTGTGTCATAGCTTTACCTGGGCATGCTTCCTTCTCTTTGGGAAGAGAAAATCCTTTTTAATGCTAGAGCAAGAAGATCCTCATGAGAAGTAGGAAGCAGAAGCAGACCACACTCCTGTTTTCTGCTTTCTTAAGGCAGCTGCTCCTGTTTCGACTTTTTTCAACCCTCTCTTTACTATCACTATTTCCTGGAATCAAGGTTATTTGTCTGTCTATAAACTCACTTAAGATATGCTTAACTGTGCTCTCTGCCTGCTGTCTCTGACTAGCAGTAATGACGTATTCTCACACCCAGGTATCCTGAACTTCCTAGCCAAGATTGGCTAAGAGCTCAGAAAGAACCCAGTTTCTCAATGGCACTGAAATCTCGTGGTCAGGACTCTGGCAAGACCAGTATTTGATGTCTACATGACTTGTCTGCATAGATTACAGCATCATTCCTTGTGTCAGAAGACACTGAGACAGCAAAGTCTTTACAGCTGGCTTCCCATATATAGTGTTCCTGGGGATCTGTCCACGTTTCTCCCCAGTACCTGCATTTAGTCTCAAACAGAAGATAGTAAATCTTGCTATTCTCAAGCCTCTGGTTTCAAGGGATGAAGCTGTCTTTCACACCTCCATCGTTAGGAGAACCTTCTCTTTTTATGTTGACAGAACTAGCTCCCTTTGATGTAAGCAGGCGTCAGCCCCACAGGAGCAGAGGCTGTGAAAACAGTCAGCTACGAACTGTCAAAGCCTTCACTCACCAGAGCTCCAATTGCAGCCTCTTCACAGGAAAGCCTTCTCACTCCTGTCATCTAAAGAAACATTCTCCATACCTTTTAGCCAGTATCATGCCACTGGAGAGAGGCCTGGCATTGGTATCACACTTGGTAGGGTGGTACTGAGGTTGTTCAGAGATAACAGCTCTCCAAGTGAGAACTAAAGGGCTGGGATTTTGTTGAGCACCAGCCACCGTGTGAATGTACGTGTGAACTCAAGGCCAGGAGCAGAGGTTGCTTACCAGCAGCCAGTGTCCCTCCAGAGCTCCCATGCGCTGAGACTCTGCCGTTGAGAGGACACCATCTGCTGAACCTGAGGTCAGAACATGCCCTCTGCGGCTGCAGCTCAAACATTCTGCAAGTCTGGTGCCACCAGGCAAACATCTATCCGGGTGGGCACTGCTCAGGTGCCGGGAAGCAGGCTGGCTGTGTTACCGTTAAGCTGCTCTCCGTGGCTTTCTGAAGTTTTCCCCAGTTCTTGCCCTTTCTCCTACAAACTGAAGCGATGGGGCTGTTTGTTTTCAAACTGTTAAATGGTTTACAATAACACAAAAAGTCTTCCGTCTAATAGCAACCGGACAGACATTTACAAGTGACAATCAAAAGAGTGAAATAACTCTTGAGCCCTACGTTCAAATAGCGTCCTATGAAGAACCATATTATTAAATCCAACATTATCTCCTCAGAGGGTGCAGAATGCCCAGTCCTGAGATTATGTCAGCTCACTCTCAAGGGACATAAACCAACCTACAGACAACTCGTGCAGTGGAGGACACCTGAGGGTGCTGCTGGCTGAGGGCAGGGATGCAAGCTCCCCAAGTCTCTGCTCAGGTGCCATACCTCTGCAGAGGAGAACAAGTTCTTGTGTTTATCAAGTTGGTTTCTCATTTCTGTGCCTGGTTAAATCACAACGCCTTGGCACTGAATCTCGGCTTAACTGATAAACTTCTTCAATAAAATCAGGGCAAAACATGTATTTGCTTTAAAAAAATTATTATATTTGTTCATTAATGAAGAATGCCAAAAAGTGATCACTGTGGATAGACAGTGTGATAAATATATGTATTTTTGGAATCACAGTACCACCTACTTCAAGCTTTCAAAGATCATGTCTGTCCCCAGAAATCCTTAGATCCAAAATATTAGCTCTACTGTTTTTTTTTTATTATTATTATTTTTTCCCTGAATATCTCAAGCTTTTCTGTGTGCCACGATTCACTGTCTGTAGGGAAAATAGTTTATGAAAAATATTACTGTCAGGGTTGAGGCTTTAAATTTAATATATTAATATTGTTTGAATAGGTCCATCTTATCTAGCTGTCCAGTCTGTGTCATATGGCTGTTTCCTCCTCCTTGTATCCCTGTATCTTTACCTGCATCTTTCACTCAGAGTGACTTGACATTTACTTCCAGATCACTGATGAAAATGCTGACCAGGATCAGGTGCCTACGGAGCCCTGCTAGAAGCAGCCACAGTCAGACATCAGTTAGTTACTCTTTGAGAAGGCTAATTGATACAACACCTGTTTAATGGGGCTTGTGTATAGTTCCTTTTAAAGAAAGCAGTATGGGATACTAAGTTAAATACCTTACTGCAGTTTAAATAGCTACATATATGCAGCTACCTTTATCCTCCAAATTGTGTTCCCCTCAAAAAATGACATCAGGGATTTTTCACCGTACCCATCTTTCTATAAAACCACACTGTCTGGAATTAGTTTTTCTGTGCTTTGAAATACTTTTTCAGTTGTATCTTATCTTAGCTTTAATTCCATGATTTTGCCTGGGGCTGAGGTCAGTTGCACTGCCTTACAGTGACCCGGCTTGACCAGTTCACTCTCAGTACTGGGACACAAGGGCTCTTCCAGCCTCCTCAAACTTCCCCGCTGTTACAGGGATGGTTAATGATTAACAAGAGCCGGCTGGAGTGCTCCTCAAACAGTTTCCAGGTCTCTGGGATGCAAGTTCTCCAGCTGATTTTTAAGTATGGATAGCTGGCTGGTGATATTTAGCTACTTGATAGACTGGAAAGAAAACATCCTGTTTTGATGAGAGTATTTTTGCCTTGCTTCTGTCAAACAGCGAGAAGAGAGATCTCTTGAACATGCCTATATCATAGCAAAGAAAGCCCCAAACCCGCCTGACTCCATCCTGTGGCTGAGACTTTTGGGGTTTGTTTTGGTTTTTTTTTAAAATTACCATTAAGCAAAATTCCTGCTGTGTTAGTCTTGTCAGGCACAGATATTTTAAGCTTTCATTAGCAATTAATCAATATAAATTTGAAGTTATAAAGCTGATGTTTTCCTTCCTCCAAATAATTAAAAATAATTATTTTCCTTTTCATCCTAGTTATCTTGGTTTTTATGTTTTCTTACATTTGTATAGCCACTGAAACAAACATGGCTTTTAGTCAAAGATGACTTCTTCCTTGTCTCTGACACCATGTCTCCAGGACATTAATAAAACTTTTCAAAATTTTTCCATTTTCATTCTCACTTTTGGGTTACATTTTTCTTCCCACCATAGTTGTACTCCCCACCTTTGAAGCCCTAAAGATAATAGTAGTTGTTGGGATCTTGTGTTCAGCCATATTGAATTGAACTTGGTGCTTCTAAGCAAGGACTCATCAGCTATTTATTTTTTAAGGGTGAAGTTTGGGAAGCTGCTGGGAGGAGGGCTCAGGGAGGAGGAGGCAGGGTATGCTCTGCTGTTTTTGTATCATCACCCCCTCCTCCCCAACACTAACTCCTCTTTCCTACAGTACCGTACATCTTTGTGTTATTATTTGTACACTGGAACTTTCCTGCTACCCTAGTCCTACCCACTCCTTTGTAGTCTGTCCCATTTTCTTGCTCCGATCTGCACCACCTTAGAGGTGTGTCTTGCCTTTTCCCAACCCCAGTGTCAAGGAATTGCCCCCAGATACCACACCCCCCTCTTGTTCTTGCCCCCAGTGGGGCCATGTCCCTTGTACACCCATTCACAGCCACACAAAGCTCATTATCCCCCTTCTCTTTCCCAGAAGCAGCTGTGACAGTCCCATTCACCCTCAGTACAGAGCAAGGCATAGAAAAGTTTCTAGTTTCCTCTTTAAAAATCCAGCTAAAGAACCATGCTTAAGGGCTGGAGTGAAGGTCTCATCTTGAAGGGGAAGAGGAAGGGGGGAGTCACCAAATATCACCCACAGCTCACACTTTAGCTGTTTGACATACTCCATTTCCAGATAAGGACATGATTCTTATGGTGGATAAAGAGAGCTGAAGTCCAAAAGCATCTCTTATGCTGGATTCAGTGTCTTTGTGTTAGAAGAACCATCTTCTATACTTTTTAAAACTTTGATAATGTACCTCCTTATGAAACTGCTGCAGTCTGTCTTCCAAATGGACATCCCTGATAACTGTACTTTTTTTTTTTTTTTTTGAAACTGCTGCAGTCTGTCTTCCAAATGGATGTCCCTGATAACTGTACCTTTTTTTTTTTCCTCTCCACACATTACAGACAGGTGATTGTAGGGAACCAGGTGGAAGAAAGAAGTTCCAACAGTGAACAGCTTCACTGCAATGATCTCAGCAGTCCATACGCAGATGTGGTTGCTTCTGAAACGTCTACCTCCCTTTCAGATGAAACTGGCATTCAGGGAAGGATCTGAGCCCAAGTTAAAACTGAAAGAGGTGACACAAACCCAGCAGTACATTCCTCCTGACCGCAGAGAAAAGCTCAGTGCTGTGACTGCCTATGAAACGCTGACGCCACAAACCTGAATTAGTTCAGAAGAAGAAAGAGAAAAATGTCTTTCAACAATGGCCAAACGTGAAAAGTCCTGGATGCATAAAAGGAATTTGCAATGGCCGCATTTGAGACACGTTGCTGGCGTTGCCTGCTAGAAGAGCAATTTAGATCCTGATGATGATGACTGTAGAATTTCTCTTACCTTCTTTATGTAAGGATTCAGACTCAAATTCCTCTCTGTTACACGGTGCAAAAGGTGTGCTGCCGGTTGAGTGGGTCTCATTAAGACTCATTTGGCTGAGAGCTGATATTTACTCCTTCAGTAGAAAGTCTATACCAGTTACACCCCGAGTCCTTCAGCTTTGCTCACCTGAGTGCACACTGACTCCTGTTGTCCTCGGGGCAGGGGGTCTGTGCAGCACCAGTTTTCACTGGGTTGTCTTGCTGTGAAAGAAAGCAGCATCCCATTCATCTTACTCAACCGGCAGCGTAACCAAGATTGTCTGTATCTATCATGAGACCCACAAGTCATCTATTTCTGGCTCTGTCTCAGGTCACGCTCTCATCAGCTGCATCTTAGTGACACCTCCACTTGGTCACCTGCTGAAAAATAAGCAACAATGTCAACTGCAACATCAACAATAAAACTGTGCTTCTAGAAGGGTTACAACTTACTTCGCTAAAGCTTAAAGCTCAGCAGTTCCCTCAAGGATAGAACATACTTTTTATTTACTTTTCTATTGCAAGAAAGTATTTGGGTCACTTAAAATTTATAAAAACACTCTTTACCTAGAACAGCCTTTAAAAAGCTAATGGCAGCACTATCTCAAGTGAGTGTCTTACTGAATCAACTCACTAGTTTTACCAGCTGCCCAGAAATACAGTTTTGCTTTCTTTTTGAAATGGTAGGTGGAAAAGAAACTGTTAATATTGAACAGTCTTGAAATGGTACCTGGCAGATACCCAGGCATTACTAAAAAGATAAGTCTGTTTATCATATTTTGTATCAAAGAGAAATGCTGGCAAAGCCACAAAAGCAACGTCGCATTTCTGCATGAGTTGCCTGCTTTTAGCTGGGGCTGACAAACAGTCCAACAGAAGCTACAGCCCTCCTTGAGGGTCACAGCAGCTTTTCAGTGAGGTGGAGAGGATGGGTTTAGGTTTAGCTCAGCTGGAGCAGAGTCAGAAGGGCCACTCACACTCCTTCCCTCTTCAGTGGCCTCTGCTCTCTCCAATTCTCCTCACCTGTGGAGCTCCACCAGACCCAGGCAGAACCAGGCAAAGGTCCACAAGAAGGTGAAGAACCCTTAGAGCTCCAGTAAGCACAAAAGTGGGACTGCAGAGTCAGGCCCAGGAAGGCAGTGAGGGCTGGAATGGACGTGAGAGCGCACAGGTAGTTGGTGGGCTGAGGACAACACAAAATTCATTTGAAACTTCAGAAGAAGCTTAGAAATTCCATGTCCCCAAGCAGGCAGCAGAACCTCCTACAGCCAAGCGCTGCCAGAGCAGCCTTATGCTGCGTGCAGGGAGTGTGGGCTCTGATGTTACCAGAGGGTGGGTGGGGTGGGCTGTGTTAAAAAAGCCTTAAACACAAGAGACAGACCAAACCACCAGGCACGTGTTCGTATTGTGCTTGTCTTTTTTGAATCTCCAATTTTTTTAATCTTTGAGATAAACACTTCTGCAGTTTGCTTTTTGAGCAGACTGACTACTGCTGGTGTTGGGCTTGGAAACCTGTCAAGGCGTAAAGTCTGTTGAGTCAGACTGAGTCGTGGGCAGATGGAGAAAACAAGGGAAGGCTGCAGGAACTGGCGGTGCAACGTGGCCAGTCATGTATCAGAGAACCAAAGATTTCCATCAGTCCACTCTGATGGCCACAACAGCCTTCCCCTCCCCTCAGATACCCTTAACCTTTTGCTACAGCTGAGGTATTTCTCACAGGAGACATGAACCATCTCCCTTTTTGGCACCAGTTGGGCAGTTACCTTTAATCCCACAGTATCATCAAAGACAGTCTGAAGAGGACCTGACCATCTAGACCCATTTTCCTCCTCAAGGATGCGACAGCTGCACTTTGGTTGTGGAGTCCCCTTCTCTGGAGATTTTCAAGACCCACCTGGATGCAGTCCTGAGTAACGTGCTGTAGGCAATCCTGCTTTGGCAGTTGGATTGGAGTTGGACTAGATGATCTCTAGAAGGTCCCTTTCAACTCCAGTAATTCTGTGATTCCTTGATTCCCGCCACATCTGTCTAACCTGAGCTAGAACATCTATCCTTGCTGGTGCCATCTCCTCTGGCATCCTCCTTCCTGACTCGTGACAGACTCTCTTCACCTTGCTTTTCAAGAACCTCTTCTCTACAAATGGATTCTGAAACACATCAATACTGTAACAACCAGTGTTCTTTCATTAGTTACACTGGAACATGACTCTAAGTACCTAACGACTGAGAAGACTTTTTGTTTTCCCCTTTCAAATTACCTGGAAGGCGTGTAGCAGGAAGTATATAAACAGTAATAAATAATATGCAAAATGCAAGCTTATCTTACAGCACCTAACTTGGGAGGAGGGGCGAGGGTGGGAGAGATACACATTTCCTTCCGTGACATTTCCATACGTACCCTTTTCAAGGCCCTGCCAGTGCTTTGCTCTCCCCAGAGAGCACTTTATCCCCCCTTGCCCTGGAGTCCTTCATTAGCAGGAGGACTTCCCTGTGTGGTCTGCAGGGTTCATGGGTGGCTGAAACGCTGCACCAGTCAGTCAACAAAGCGTGACCCAAATCAGCTCATGCTGCTGGTTCCAAGACATAGTTGACTTCTGTAAAAACGTGATCCCAAACCACTATCCCCACAAAAGCCACTTCTTTCTGCCCAGTCGCTCATGCTGTGTGAGATCCTCTCCCGCCAACACGTCAGGTGTCCTTGCCTGAGCAATGGTCCCAGCAGCCCACCACGGAGATCCATTTCACATCCTGAGGAGCCCCACCTGCAACTCAAGCTGTACATGGTCCATACACCACATAAAACTGGAAGCAGTAATTTTTTATGGGCTGTAACTTCACTGAATTTTTGTGTATTTTGAGTAAAGGGCTTCAAATCCTGTCCTGGCAATGGCTTCTGCGAGGGCAGCCCAGACCACTGGGCCCACTGCAGAGCACGCTGGAGCTTCAGCCGCGTCGTTCTTACCCCCACAGCCTCAGAGTAACTTGTATTAAATTGTAGAAACTCCTTGCTTTAAAACATAGACCCGTATCTGGGGCAAGTTTTCTGTTTCCAAATGCTCGCCGCAATTTATTTTAATCAAGCTTAATTTCCTAAGTCTCTGTCTCTATAATTTATTAAAATGCATTTTGAAGACATTGGCAGTAATTCAAACGTACAAATCATTCAACTGCTAACCATCTATGGCTTTTAAAGATACTTAACCATTATTCCTAGGTCTTCATAATTACCTTTTAATTGTCACACTATTAGAATATATTGAAGCTCGGAGGCAGTGAGAGGTTAAGCCTTATTTTTAAAAGAGTGTATGAGCTACATTCTCTTTACTCATAAGCTGATATGAGCTATGCATCTTTTTACCCGACAGGCTTGTAGCTTTAAATTGTCAGTTCATTTGCATTATGTTTTTTTCTGTTTCCAAAACTACCATTTAAAAAAAAAGGAAAATAAATGTGTATGAACAATCCTCTCCTCCAACCTTGAGTAGTATTGACACCACAATACTGTGTACCTCCTCAGTACTGGAGGTACTAACCAAATATTCCAATCTAGGGAGAAACTACTCGCTGCTGGGCCTTTCTGAATACTTAAAGCCACAAGAAAATCACCAATGGAGTGTGAACCCTTGGCGTGGATTCACGTGCACTTGGCCAGGATGTAGATGCAGTACTGTAAGGAAAGCATACCAACATGCCTAACCATCCCTGGTCATAGTCCTGGTCTCCTGATTCTACTTTCCACTTGTACAGCACCGTGCATCTCCTTGCCTGAAGCCCGCTATAAGCTTGAAAGTTACCTTTGGGCTCCCCAGTTCAAGGACAGACAGCTGCTGGAGAGGGTAGAGCAGAGGGCTACAAAGATGATGAGGGGCCTGGAGCATCTCTCCTATGAGGAAAGGCTGAGGGACGTAGGTCTTTTTAGTCTAGAGAAGAGAAGGCTAAGGGGGGATCCGATCAATGCTTCAAGGGTGGGTGTCAAGAGGATGGGGCCAGTCTTTTTTCAGTGGTGCCCAGGGATAGGACAAGAAGGGACGGGCACAAACTTGAATGTAAGAAGTTCCACCTAAACATGAGGAGAAACTTCTTCACTTTGAGGGTGGCAGAGCACTGGAACAGGCTGCCCAGGGAGGTGGTGGAGTCTCCTTCTCTGGAGACATTCAAAACCTGCCTGGACACATTCCTGTGTGACCTACTCTAGGTGGACCTGCTCTGGGAGGGGGGTTGGACTAGATGATCTCCAGAGGTCCCTTCTAACCTCATGTGATGTGATTCTGTGATTCCGTAACTACCTTCCTTATCTTAGCAGTGACAAAACTGCATTCAGACATCACTATTTCCGGAAATACCAAGGTGTGCAAACAGCTGTTTTAACCCAAGTAATTTAGCGTGCCCATTTGCATCTGCTCTGTACCTACAGGGATAGGACAAGAAGAGACGGGCACAAACTTGAATGTAAGAAGTTCCACCTAAACATGAGGAGGAACTTCTTTACTTTGAGGGTGGCAGAGCACTGGAACAGGCTGCCCAGGGAGGTGGTGGAGTCTCCTTCTCTGGAGACATTCAAAACCTGCCTGGACACATTCCTGTGTGACCTACTCTAGGTGGACCTGCTCTGGGAGGGGGGTTGGACTAGATGATCTCCAGAGGTCCCTTCTAACCTCATGTGATGTGATTCTGTGATTCCGTAACTACCTTCCTTATCTTAGCAGTGACAAACTGCATTCAGACATCACTATTTCCGTCCCCAGATGGAAATACCAAGGTGTGCAAAGAGCTGTTTAAGCCTACGTAATTTAGCGTGCCCATTTGCATCTGCTCTGTACCTACCTCTAGAGTCAGCTCTCACTCAAGAATCACCTTTCCAACTGACTGAGCTTCAACACAGGAATTCCGCTCCCGCAGGTGCCACACTTACACAATTAATTTTATTTTTTTTTTTAAGCCAAATTGGCCGAAGGGCACGCGAAAGGCCCTTACAATGCAGGCAAGCGCACGCCCGAAAACATTCTGGGCTTGCAGCTCAGAGACCGCGTAACACCAGGGTTGTGGCATTTAGGTTCGGGGTTTTGTTGATTTATTAAGGGATGGGAAGGGCTACTCTGCACCACACCAGGTACTGTGGTGGGTTGGCCCTGCCTGGCTGCCAGCCCGCCTCAGCCGGAGGACAGGGCAGGGAAATGGGATGAAAAAGATTAAGATTAAGATAGGGAGATCACTCACCAGCTACCATCAAGGGCAAACCAGACTCGACTTAGGGAAAATTAATTTATTGCCAATTAAGATAGATTTTCTCTACCCGAATCTCTTTCTGCATGACTGGCCTCAGGTTGGTTGAATGGTCTCACCTCATTTCTGTAATTCTCTCCACAAAATCACACTATAAACCACTTAAACGTGCTCAGTCCCTCAAGAGAGCTGGAAAACTCTTCCCCTACGTGTCATGAGTATTTTCTTTTCCAGTTAGATGAGAGGGTAAGACATCTCTCGGTTTGGAACTCCTTTGGTTTCATTTTGCCTGGCTTTTCCAGAGCAAACAAAATTTCCTGCTGTCACACCCTAGAGATTTTACATGACACAAAATTTAGCCTCTAATAGGACTCACAGCTTTTTCAAGAACTATTTTTTACTTTTAAATCAAGTCTGATATAGATATTATGGCTTTTTTAGGACAAGAATATTTACATGCAGAAGCAATCCTCATTATTTGTGTCTCACTTTTTTTTTTTATTAAAAAAAAAGCACATTACATAAACATCACAAGGAGTGTGCATTTCTGATTTTTTTCCCCCGTACTGAATTTGTACAAAGTACCTAGGCACAGCACATATTCATGAGTCAATTTAATAAATCCTGTTTTACATTTCAAAGGTTCAAGTTCAGGCTCTGAATGTTTGCATATCTCGAACGGTACGTTAAACTGCCCTCGAGGCCACAGTCAAAAAAAATTTATCAGATTTCACAGAGAATTTCCAATAAAAACCATGTATAATCAATGAGCAGCAAGTCATTTGGGTTTTAGTTCCATCTCTCATCTTTTGAGAGTGGAGGGAAGATAGGCCTTTGTTGCAAGTTCCAGCAGTGGTGATGGTCAGGGCTTTTTTTGATTAAAAAACCCCAAACGGAACAGAAAGAATAAAACCAGACCAGCTCTGATACAGATGCTTTCAAAAGCAGTTTAATTTAAAAACAAGAAGGATCCCAGACCATCATCATTCCAGTGTTCAGAGTCTTCTGTTCATACTGGTTTTGGTGTCATATATCATGAAAGAAACTGGGTTCTTCAAGAAATAGCAAATCATCGTGGCCAAACCCCTGACT